AGAATGCTTTAGAGTCTATGAGAGCAAGTCTGACCCCAAGGGCCCTTGAAAGGAATTGCTTTTTATGGCCTCTGAGCCTGAGTCCTGGCTCTGTTACCTGCTAGTTGCTCATTGTCCCCTGGGCCCTGCCGAGCCCCAGGGAGCAGGTGGTCAAGGGGAGTAAGTGGGCAAGGGCTACAAGGGGTGCCAGGGATTTGGCCAGATTCCATAGGCCACTTCTGGTCAACCAGCAGGCATCCTAGCATCCTTTGTACCTCAGGACGGTGCTGCCCAGGACTCTGAGACTTTGTCCGCATTCCTCTCAGGGCACTGGAATGTGGCCACCATGACAGCAGCTCCAGGGCAGTTGGAACCTTTCCTGGTCCACCTGCCCTCTGCTCCACTGCTGCTGATCGGGTCATGCCGGTTCTGCTTGCTTGGCACAGTCCCTCCCACTTCCTCCAGCTGGCCCCAGCTGGGGCAGGTAGACATCGACCCCATGGACAGTTATTTTCCAGAAACCAACCTCGAGGATCTCGGTATCTTGGTGTTGGGGCTTGGAGTTTGTCTGGTCCTAAGGGCAAAGAATGTCTACCCGCACCCCCCCCCCCACCAGGAACATGCCTGCATATTTGTTAATGTCATCAGTCTTCCTGTCCAGTGCTTCTCAAGCACTGGAATGGACGTCAGAACCGCCTGGAGGGCTTGTTACCACCCAGGTGGCAGGACCCCACACCCAGGCCTCTAGGGTGAGGCCGGAACATCAGAATTCTGACAAGCTCACAGGTGGCACCAGAGTTAAGGATCTTATCTCCCATTTTGAGTAGCAGAGTCCATTCTCCCTGCTCAGACTGCTCGGTCTCATAGGCCCCTTCCCCAAACCTCTGTTAATCTGAATCACCAGGTGCGCTTGATGTTCCTCGTGACACCAATCACTGTCTTCAAACAATCTTCATTGATTCATTTTGCTTCTTGTTTTTGATATGTTTCCTCCATAAGAGGGTAGAAGCCATGACTGGGTCCTTCTTGTTCTCCATGTTCAGTGCTTAGTGAAAGGTTAGTAAATATTCTTCAATGAATGAATGAAAAATGAATGAATGCAGACTGTAGAGAATCAGATGGAGGCTAAACCATGTTATCTGACTTTCAAGGGACTGCAGTGAAAGCTTTTCATTGTGGAAGGAAATGGGATGTCCCCATTGGTGAGATGACCAGAACTAGACAGTTCCAGAGGCTAGGTGTGGTAGGAAAATGCTAATTGCTAATCATAAAATAAGAATGTGGTGCTTGCGGGCTTCTCTGGTGGCTCAGTGGGAAAGAATTTGCCTGCAATGCAAGAGACGCAAGTTTGATCCATGGGTCAGGAAGATCCCCTGGAGAAGAAAATGACAACCTACTCAAGTATTCTTGCTTGGGAAATCCCATGAACAGAGGAGCCTGGCAGGCTGCAATCTGTGGCATCGCAAAAGAGTCGGACACAACTGAGCAACTAAACAACAACAACAGCTGAGTGCTTGTACTGTGTCAGGCACTGCTTTATGTTTATTAAGTTTCCCTTAAGAAACATGTTTTCCAGACAGTAAGAAGGGGAGCCTGGCTTCAAATCCGAGTACCATGGCTGCAGGGTTGACATATCACATTTAAGGAGGCTGTGATGAGGAAGAGGAGAGAGAGGAGATGGTCCTTTCATCTACTCTGTTTTTACAAAGCTTCCGTGACAGGTGATTCAGTGAAGTCCTCTAGTTGGAGGGTAGGTGGACATGGCTGCTTCTGGTTACAATTACCTTTCACTAGCCTGTGTCTCGCTGGAGAATATGGACTCACGTTCATGGGGCCAGAAGCCAGGGCTCCCAAGGCTGAGTTATTATTTTCCCAGCAAATACCAGAGCTCTTTGGAGTCTTGTTCCACTTCATGACTGACAGGTGCCCCCTTCCCCAGGGCAGCTGGTATTACCACCCGGTGCCCACAGGCAAGCCACGGCTGACCTGACTAAGGAGATGGTGTCTGGCCGGGGCCACCAGGTAGGGGGGTGGAGGCTGTGGACTTACCTTCTGTGTGGTCCAGGACTTTCTGGAGAAGGACTGTGGGCTTCCAGCAATACTTTTAACCCGGAAAGAATCAAAAAAGGTTCAGGGTGGACCCCTCAGCTGTTGCCACTGACATCTTATCACTTAAGCACATATTTTTCTGAATACCAGAAATTAAGGGGAAATTTAGAAACTCCGTTCTGAAGTTCATGAACCGTTGCTCTTGGAAGATGGACTTCTGAAAAATTCCCTTGATGGCTTTTAGGAGGCTGTGGATAACTTTATATTATTCCTGAAAAATTTCCTGAGTTTTCCATGTCAAATATTTTAGTTTTATTACAGGGGGACAGAGAGCTAAGATTGATTGAGTCCATCTTGTGTGCCGGGCACAACGCTCCTTTCACTTTGATTTTGCCTTTTGCAGAGTTATCCTGGGAGGCAGGGAAATGAGTATCCCTGCTTTACAGATGAGGGTGGCCCCTGTGGGGAGGGACTTGCTCATAGCCAGGATTCACACTGGGCCCAAGCTTTTGTAAGTGTGGAGCTGCCAGCGGTGATAAGTTCATGTATTGCTCTCTTGACTTTGTTTCGGATGGGATTGTGGATATCAGATAAAATAATTTATGTCTATGTATCATATCTGTCTCTATGTAGTATATTAACAAGACTGATTTTGAAGCTGAAGCTCCAATACTTTTACCACTAATGCAAAGAGCCAACTCATTGGAAAAGATCCTGATGCTGGGAAAGATTGAGGGCAGGAGGAGAAGGGGGTGACAGAGGATGAGATGGTTGGATGGCATCACCTACTCAATGGACATGAGTTTGAGCAAACTCCACAAGATGGTGAAGGACAGGGGAGCCTGGCATGCTGCAGTCCACGGGGTTGCAGAGTTGGACACGACCGAGTGACTGAAAAACAAAATGCACATATCATGTGTATACAATTATATACTGCATCACAGTTTGCATGGAAACTGAAAGTGGTCCTTTTCAAAGCAGTTGTCTTGAGGGGCTGTAGGTAGATGTCAACAGTGGGTCTATACTCAGCAAGTATTGGGAACACGCAGTTTGAAGGTTTGTCATTTGGAGGACTCTTGAGAAATTAAAGCAAGTGACTTAGTCCAAAGCATATGGGATCAAAACAAAATCTGACTCCTGTGATAATAGTACTAATAATAGCTTTTATTTATAGTATGTTTACCACGTGTCCAGTGCAAACTCCTTTTGTTAAAAATATTTTTTTGATGAGGACCATTTGTAAAGTCTTTATTTAATTTGTTACAATATTGCTTCTGTGTTACATTTTGGTTTTTTGGCTGCCAGGTATGTGGGATCTTAGCACCCCGACCAGGGATCAACCCCACACCCCCTGCACTGGAAGGCAAAGTCTTAACCCCTGTACCTCCATGGAAGTTCTATCAGGTTCAATTCTAAGGGCTCTCTGTCGGGTAACTTGTTTCATCCTCATAACAATCCTATGTTCTAAGTACTGTTATCACCACCTCCACCTTACATTTGAAGAAGCTGAGGCACAGAGAAGTTTATTAATTTGGTCCAAGGTCATCCAGATAATAAAAGGCGGAACTGGGATTTGAACCCAGGCCCCACAGGCCGGGAGGCACCAGAGACTGAGAGGTTGACTGCGGGGTTAATAGACCAGCGATGGGCCTGCCTTTCTTATGGGTCTCATGAACAGGCTCTGAAGGTTAAGCACAAAGAAGCTTTTGTTCGTTTGTTGAAGGGACTTTTATGAGTGGCTTGACAGGTTGTCAGGCACTGTGCGAGGTGAGCCAGGTTAGAAAGAGACATAAGCGAAGATTCCTGGCTTAGATGGTATCCCAGTTCAGGGTCACTGTGTCACTGCTGCCCTTTCGATGGGTGGGGATACATCCCTCCTCCTAGAAGTGAGGCTTGGTCATGGGCCATGCTCTGGCCGATCAGATGTGTGCAGAAACTGTGCCTTCCTGATGGACGCTCTGTGAGTCCCGTATACTTTTTCTGTCCGCTGCGGCAGGTGGAGGGCTCCCAGACGGCATCTGCAGAGGGCGCAGGAGACCCCCAGACCAGGCAGGAGGAGCTTGGATGAGTCAGAGTCCCAGTGGGCTCAGCGGAGGAGGGTTTAATGAAGGGCGGTGGACAGAGGCAGGGCAGGGTTAGGGACCAACATGGAGCACCATGCAGGCCCAGCCCTGGCGAGAGGGGCGGAGGAGGGACCGCTCCACAGGCCTGTCTTGTGGGAGGACCCAGGCTCCGCCGTGTGGAGGGGGCCCTGGGGTTTCTACCCTGAACGCTTCCTCCGCCTGCAAACCTCCTGCTGCTGCTTCCCACTGGCTGGACTCAGCTGACAGCTGGCGCATCCGGGGTGGTGTACGGAGCCCTTGGCTTGCCAGGTGCAGAGTGGGGTGAAGAAGAGTAAGCCCTGGGCTGGAGTTGGGCAGAGGGGGCAGCAGGAAAATAAGCCAGAGAGCGAGGAAGGTTCACGTGGGGAGAGGCATGAGCTGGTGAGGGAGGGACTGGGGGGAATCAGGGAGATGGGGTCCGTGCCATTGGCAGCCTTCAGACTTTATTAGCAGGGATGTGCGAAGTCAGTGGATTGGAGCAGATGTGCTTAAATATCAACACGACTCTCAGGGTAATGTCTCTGTGGTGGGCATGGATGGAAGCTCCCAGCAGGAGGGCTGGAACCCCAGAGAAAAAGTCCTCCTGCAAACCCCTGCGTGAGGCATTTGCCCGGTCTACGTGCTGTGTGCCCGCCAGCCCATAAAGGACAGGAAAGAGAAAGAAGCAGAGCGGCTCGAGAGAGGATATTCTGGAACTCTTGATAATCAGGTCCCATTGTAAAGTCATGCTTTGAGTTACAGCACTGAATATCTTTGTGCCAGTGGAAAACTTTTACAGACTGTCCCCGGCGAGCTCAGAATCCTGTTTGGATCTCAGAAGGTCTTAAAATAGTACCAGATGCTGGTAGACAGACTCTGAAGGGGCAGAGGTCACGGACTCACTGTGCCGACCACACCTGGGTGGGACAGCCCCGGCCACTCCTGCTCCCAGAGCTGGGCACACGGAGGCTTTCTTGTCTGGTCGAGTTCCCAGAAGCGGTCCTGCCCACGTGGGAGGTGGGTCCAGCCCGGCCAGGCACCAAGCGTTGCCTGGCGTCTACTCAGGCCAGATGGCAGCTCTTGGTCAGCTAGTTCTGACAGGATGCCTGGGGGTGGGAGGGCACACTCGTGGGATTCCGAGAGGAGAGGGGGCTGGGGCTCAAACAGCTTCCGGTTCTACTGCTGTGGCCAGGAAGACCAGAAGCCTTTTGCTGACTGGAATCTTTTTTATCCCCTAAAGCTTGCCCTGGGGACAGATGGTTTGGGGCCAAGTGCTTCAAGGTCCTTGAGTCTCAGTCTACCCCCCTGTAAAATGGGGATGATATACCTCTAGGGATGTTGGGAAGGAGGCAAGGTGTCTGGCACAAACTTGTGCTCCGTGAATTTCCTTTCAACTCAGAATCAGATCTTTCTCTGTCTCTCAAAGGCCAGGAGGAAGTGGCAGCAGGTACTGCTGGCCCCTTTGTTAGGCAGTCAGATGAGAAGGCCAGAGGCTGGGTACCCCGCCTGAAGTGAGATCATGTAGAATCCAGGTTTGACCCGAGAGCCTGTGTGCTGCTCATCACAGCAATATTTCTGTAATCCTGTCATCTGACCAAGGAGATGTACAGCTGCATTTTTATTTGCGAAGGCAATTTAGTGCATTTATCTGTTGTCTGAAAATAATTTATTTTATTATTTCTTATTATTTATTCATTTATTTTTTTATTTTATTTTTTAAGTTGTGTGGTTTATGTCTACATCATTGAAATTTTACATCTCTCCTATATTACCATTTATCCACTTTGGATTTGTAAGATAAAAGCTGGAAAACTGTTTTCCCCTTTGATGGACTTTACACTGCATTTGTTGATGTCCCAGTTCCGGGCAGCCATTCCGGACTCTTCTTGAAAAGGCCATGTCTCTGTGTCACATTGTTCTGCTCCCAGACCCAGCTCCTTGAAAGGTCATCTGTCTCTTCCTTCCTGAGGGGGCCCAATGGGGCCCCTTGTAACTGGTGTGCATGAGCCCTCCCTCTTGCTTCAGAAAAGACCTGGTTCACCCCCAGATAATTAATCAACCTTAGAGCATCAGCATCTTGACCCAGCTCAGTCACCAGTCCTTTGCTGGGTACCAAGGGGAGTTGGACTAAGTGGCTTTCCAGGGGTCTGCCCAGTTCCAGATGTCCTAGGTAGGATTCACCAGTGGACAGCAAGTGGAGCTCAAGGGCCGGGTCAGAGTCCTGTCTCTGGAACCTTCTGTCATATCATCCAGCGAGTCCTCAGGTGAGAGCTCCAGCTTCCTGGTCTGCAGAGGCCTGCCTCCACTCAGGTGGCTGTGAGGGTGGAAACAGGGGATGTGATTGGAAGAGGTTTGTAATGGGCCAGGAGTCCATCAATCACACACTTCGTGAAGGATGCTCACTTTTGTGTACTAGGTCGGAATCATCTTCTTGGGCAGACTTAGAAGTCCTCAGGTGGAACCTGGGATGAATTCCTTGAGAAGCTCTTTCTTTCCAGAATGCAGCCTCAAGGCCCATGCTTTCTGAAGCTGCTAAATCCCAGGCGGGGGATTCTTGATATTCTTCATGGTTCCTTTGGGGGAGCCTCCGGGCTTCTGAATTATTGATGCATGTCTGCGTTATTAAAAGGCACTATTTGCATTTGTTAGCTGAATTTGGAGCCCCTGTGAATAAGAAAGCTGCCTGGGGAAGCCATTCCTGATTGCAGCCTCACAACTGGTCTGAATAAGTGTGGACCAGTCTGGATGCTTTGGTGTTTCCACTCCAGCTGCACACACAGCTTGTTTCTGTCCTTTCCCTTACCCACGGGGCCTTTGGAAGTCCACTCTTCTCCTCCCATACCTCTGTAAGCCACACAACCCTCCTGCAACCTGCAGTCCTCTTGGTTTCTTAAAGGTGCAATTCAGATGCCACCTGCCCCAGGAAGTTCTCCCTTCCTTAGGATAGACTTAAGATAGCCACCTGCATAGACTGAGAACAGAGACCGTCTCACCCCCTTGCATCAGAATGTCTGTTTCATATACTAGACTGAACTTTGTGGGGATGAGCCTGTGTTTTATGTGCATCTCATTGCCTGGGAGTGGTACCTGACACCTAGCAGGTACTCTTCATGGAGTGTTGACTACAGTGGTGGGGAAAGATTCCTTTAAGAAGGTAGGATTGGATTTGAGCCCTTCCTATATTCTTAAGCTGAATTGAGACGTGAACTTTATTTAGCTGTGTGTTATTCACTTAGTCGTGTCCGACTCTTTGTGACCCCATGGAATACTGGAGTGGGTAGCCATTCCTTTCTCCAGGGGATCTTCCTGAACCAGGGATCGAACCTGGGTTTTCTGTGTTGCAGGCGGATTATTCCCTGGTAGCTCAGCTGGTAAAGAATCCGCTTGCAATGCAGGAGACCCCAGTTTGATTTCTGCGTTGGGAAGATCCGCTGGAGAAGGGATAGGCTACCCACTCCAGTATTCTTGGGTTTCTCTAGTGGCTCAGCTGGTAAAGAAACCGCCTGCAATGCGGGAGACCTGGGTTCGATCCCAGGGTTGGAAAGATCCCCTGGAGAAGGGAACGGCTACCCCACTCCAGTCTGGCCTGGAGAATTCCATGGACTGTATAGTCCATGGGGTTGCAGAGAGTCACGACTGAGCGATTTTCACTGTAGTCTTAAGCATTGATTGGTCCCCAACCTTTTTGGCACCAAGGACCAGTTTTGTAGAACACAATTTTTTTATGGACTGGGAAGGAGGGATGGTTTTGGGATGATCCAAGTGCATTACATTTACTGTGCATTTTATTTCTAGTCTAACGCTGCCGCTGTTCTGACAGGAGGCACCGTCCACACCCAGGGGCTGGGGACCCTGGGTCTAAAGAGTTGGGGAGGGGGTGTGGGAAGGGGCAATGATGCTGGAGGACAGAAGCAGAGGCTCCCTTGTGGGTGCTGAGATGACTCCTCTCTCTGGAGCTTGTGGTCTGAGTAGGGCTGGTGGGGATGAGCTTGAGTGAAGAGTGTGGTCTTGAGCCTAGCTGAGAGGAGGAGAGGGTGAAGACAAAGCCTGAGAAGCAGTCTAGGTGCATTTGACAACCCAGTATCCTGGGAGGGAGAAGGAATCGGGGGACAGAGATATTATTTGAGTCTGGAAATTGAAGCGCGCTCACCCTTGACCCTGAGCACACATCTAGCTGACTCAACCTTGCCATTTGTCCGTCTGCAGGAGGAGGTTATGAAAGTGACATGACCCCGCACACGCTGGGAGCTGGCAGGAGCATAAATAATATATCCGATATGCAGATGAACGGCCCAGGGTGTCTCTGGTCTGGGGAGAATTCTTAGTAGACCTGAGATATTTGCAAAACTGAATGTTCTGCTTCCTGTCCACAGCCTCAAGGCAAGGCTCCTATTCCTGCGTGCGAGAGAGATTTCCGTCCTCCGCACCAGCGACTGTCTCTCCTGAAAAAAAATCCCTGCTGTCCCTGGGGACCTGTGCTGGGCTGTCCCGCTGCTTGTCAGCCTTGGGGCCAGAGGGGGTCCTTTATCAGAGGTGTCCACCCACCTGGGGGCCTGTCCCAAGTATGCACCCCGGACCCCACTGAGGGCTGGAAGATGTGCTTTTAAAGGCCTTCGGGTAATTGAAACTTTGAAAGCCTCTGAACTAACCAGTCATAAAAGCGAATACAATGACTGCCCTCAAAATAGCACTAGAATGTGAAGAAAGGACGTTTGCATTCCTGTCCACTTGCACCATGAGACCCAGTTCTGTGGCTTGATTGGTGTAACTTCAATGCCTTGGCTGGCGTCTATGCTGCCTTTGGTCTTTCTCTCCCTCTAAATAGACCCCAGAAACGTAGTACAACATTGTAAAGCAACTATCATCATTCAGTAGCTAAGTCGTGTCTGACTCTTTGCGACCCCATGGACTGCAGCACGCCAAGCTTTCCTGTCCTTCACCATCTCCTCGAGTTTGCTCAAACTCATGTGCATTGAGTCGGTGATGCCATCCAACCATCTCATCCTCTGTCGTCCCCTTCTCCTCCCACCCTCAATCTTTCCCAGCAATCAGGGTTTTTTCCAATGAGTCCAATAAAAATTAATTAAAACAAAATGAAGATGCAGACGTAGAGAACAGAGGTATAGATACCAAGGGGGGATAACGGGGGTAGGCTGAACTGGGAGATTGGGGTTGACGTGTATTCACTGTTGATACTTTGTGTAAAACAGATACCCGATGAGAACCTACTGCATAGCCCCAAGGACTCGGTGCTCTGTGGTCGCCTAAATGAAAGGCAAATCCAGTGAGGACGGGATATATACACACGTCTAGCTGATTCACTTTGCTATATAGCAGAAATGAACACGATGTTGTAAAGCAACTAGACTCCAATAAAAACAATTTAAGAAACAGTAGAGTAAACAGGCCCCAGAGTCTGCTGCATCCTTAAGTCTCCCTGGCGCCTTTATCCTAGTGAGGTCCTTTCCTGTCTGCCTGAATCTCCCAGGAACAGAAGAAACTTGGATGCAGTGGCCACGTACCACCTTCTAGATGTGAAACCTTCCCTCGAGGCTCTAGCCACCGCTGAGCTTTTCCTTTCTGGAATGGTCCTGATTCTTAGCCTTGCAGTCTCGCTGCGGGCTTCCTCAGGCTGTGTGCAGAGCTGAGCCTGTGTGACATATAACACCCACGGAGCCTGGCCTGTGGCCGTGGGGCCGCCCTGGATCTGAAGACAGTTCATAGGAGGGCATCTCTATTGGCACCTAAACGTAAGATCATCTACCCAGTCATAAAAAGGGACATGACAATGAAAAATGCCTCCTTTTCCTGTGGAGATCACACACTGCCCAAGGTGGTCGTGTCCTGGGTAGTTGACAGAGCTCTAAGAAGCAACTCTGTGAGCTCCCATTGCTGGGGTGTGTGTGGGGGGAATTGCATTGCTCCAGCCGCGGGGCGGGCACTGTGGCTCTTCCTAACCAAACTGCCTGTGCGGGTGCCCTTTGACCCAGCAGCCTCCTGTGGGGATGTTTTTTCCAGAGATGTAGCTGCAGATGTTTGTGCAAAATGAACAATGCACACGATTATTCACAGTATGTGATAGGTCTGGGGTCCCCAGGGGGCTCGAACCTACTTGCCAACGCAGGAGACATAAAGAGACCTGGGTTCTATCCCTGGGTCCACAAGATCCCCTGGAGAAGGGGTTGGCAACCCACTCCAGTATTCTTGCCTGGAAAATCCCATGGGCAGAGGATCCTGGCGGGCTACAGTCCATGGGATCGCAAAAGATCAGACACGACTGAGTGACTAGTACAGTAATATAAGATGTTAATAGGGATGGAGATATATGATAATATAATTTGCTGTGGGGTGTGTGAACTCTCTGTACCATATTCAGATTTCCAGATTTTTCTATAAAATCTAGAACCGTTCTAAAAAATTTAAGATTATTTAAAGAGAAGCAGAAGGACTTCCCTGGTCCAGTGGCTGTCAGATTTCCATTTGGAAAGCTTGGGGGCATATGGTTATTCAGCATCCGCCGTGGGCAAGAGCCTAGAAGCATACAGTGGGGGGAGAGCGGGTCTTGGGGGGAACCTGGACTCCAGGAGAGAAGGGAGATGGCATCTCCTAAAGAACTAGCAGCCCTGGAAATGCAGAGCATGAGTGAGAGTGAGTAGGTGAGTTGTCCCAGTGGGAGGCCAGGAAAGGAAAGGGAAGGGCTGGATCTCTGGCAGGCTGCCTGGAAGAGGTGACCTGGGATTGACCTAGGGTTTTGAGTGGGGTGGGGAATGGAGAGTGGGGGCTTCTGCTGGTAGAGGCTCAGGTTTACAAAGAGGCTGCAGGGGATGATGCCCCAGGGTGAGTAGCAGAGGCTTTCAGTAGGGGAGATGCTTGTGACCAGACTGTCTGAAAAGGGCTGAGAGGTCGGGGCGGGGCGGGGGGAGACTCCCAGGAGAGGGAGGGGGCGAAAGAGAGGGATCCAGGGAGGGAAGGAGCAAGGGGCAGGATGCTAGTTATGCCTCTGAACCGAGTACAGAGTAGCTCACAGCGTTGTTGGCCTCAGAGTAGCTCACACTGCTGGTGGCCACTGTCCCCGGGGCATGCTCCGTCCCCTCCCTCCTCTGTCCTGCATGCCTGTCCTTTCTCCCCCTGGCTCCTCACTCCTGGGCCCCAGAAGCCAGTGAGCGGCATCCTGGCCATTTCCAGTCCCACGGGCCGCCCAGCCTCCTCTGATCTGGGCTGCCCTGTGCCGGTGTGACCTCACCCCCATGGCCTGTTTACCCTGGCGCAGCGACAGGACGATCGGGTCACGTGGGGCCCCTGGCATGCCAGCCGCGTGAGTCGCCGGCTGTGGGCACAGGCAGGCAGGCGGGGAGGGGGGGTTTGGTGAATGAGGGGGCATTCCTCGGGGCTGACTGTCCCAGCCTGCCTGGCAGGGGACCCCCTGCTCCTGGAGGCAGCTCTAGGGTGCTGGGCTGGCCCAGCTCTACACAGGAGTGCTGAGTCACGGCCCGCAGTGCAGCCTCTGAGTCACCCAGCAGTCCTGTTCTCCACAGACTTTGTGAGAGTCCTTTGTGGGAGTCTCCCGGGCCTGAGGGTCACAGGACCCTCTGTGCCACTGGCCACCCTCCCGAGGTCTCCTGCCCACCCTCTTACCACCCCCATCACCTTACAGGCCCAGCCCAAGTCCGCCTGGTAGGATCAGTTATGTCCTTTTGAGAGCCAGAGCCCCGGAGTTTGACTCCAGCCAGCAGCTGAGTTACGGGAAAGAAGCGTGGGCAAGTTAGCAAGTCAGGGCGGGAGCCATCCAGGCAGGATCTGGAGGTGGCGAGGGCCGGGTCGTCTGTCCCGCCAGTCACAGGGAGAGCACACAAACTGACTGTCTTGCGTATGTTGTGTGTGTCTTGAATGACCTTGAAAAGCCACCCTGGGAGGGAGCACTGTATCAGTAACATCAGATCCAAGAGGGCTGTGTGCAGCTAAGTCCTGTCCAAAGATGTCAGGCTCTGTCCTTATACCCATTTCCTGGTGGCAGAAACTGAGGCTTTAGTAGAAGGCACTTGCTTGGGGTCCATAAGCTAGAAAGTGGCGTGTCTGGAGTTTGAGCCCAGACCTCGGTTCTATAGTTAGACCCTCCGAGCCAAGTTCGCTGGTTGTGCTCATTTCATCCTCTCCTTTTCCTTTTTCTTCTTCTCTCCTTTGCCCCTTGGCTGCTGGAATCCTTCCCATGGAAGGCAGTGTTAAGGGGGAGCCGCTGTAAGGAGAAACCAAAGTGGTGTTTGGAGTCGGGTCGTCTGTGTGGTTCAGCCTGCAGGCTGAGCCCTGGGGGCGAATGGGCGTTGACTCCATCCTCTGGGATGGAGAGAGAACCTGGAGGCCTTGACAGTGAGAACCCCCAGGGGTCTGTCTGGGAGGTGGGGAGGGGGCGCGGCCCAGTGCAAGGAGATGGGGATAGCTCCCTGACTCTGAGGGGAAACCTGTGTTCCCCTGTGGGGAAGCCCCCGGGGGTTCAGGTACTAGATGTACCCCCTGTTTGTCAGGAGGCTTTGGGAGGGTTGTTTTCTTTCTGCTCTTCTCAGTTATCTTTTGCACAGAGGAAGCTGGGCTAGATGAGGGAGCCTAAAGTATAGCCCCCCTCCTTTTACCCCAGGGATAGGAGACTGGGGCATCTGCACGAGGGTGAGGGGGATTGGAATCTGCATTTGTAACAAGCTCTCAGGTGAGGGAACCCTCTTAGATCAGCCCCTGAGATGCAGGTAGGACCTCCCTGTCTTCTGGTCCTTGGTGGTCTCAGCCAGCAAGGATGCTCAGGGCTCACCAGCTGCACAGAGAGTTGTCGAGTCTGTGTTTGAAATCTCTCACTACAGCTATCCATCTATTTCATATAAAAACTTCTGGCTTCACGTGGGGTGGCTGGGTGGGGTCCTGTGTTCCCCCTGCTGGAAGGCCACCCCTGCTGGAGCCGCCTGTACTGGCCCGGGGATTCTGAATTCAGGTGTTATCCTCAGAGGGTAAAACGCCAGGAGACTCAGGCCAGCAAGTGGCTCTCAGGTCTCAATGAACCTGAGGTCCTCGCCAGCAGCAGGTGTGAGTCAGATGGGGAGCGGTTTTGAAGTGGATGCTGTTGGAAGACAGATGTATTGGCAGAAAGGCCAGATGTTGACGTGGGACTTCTGGTCTTGACTGAAAGTGTCAGGGCGGTCTTTTTTTTTTTTTTAAACATTTGTTTATTTGGCTGGGCTGAGTCTCAGTTGCAGCACATGGATCTTCTATCTTCCTTGTGACATGTGAAATCTTTAGTTGCGACATGTGGGATCTAGTTCCTTCATCAGGGTTCGAACCGGAGTCCCCTGCATTGGTTAGCCACGGGACTACCAGGGAAGTACCCCAGGGCCATCTTCTGTAAGGGAATGGTGGTGATAATGAGCTTCCAGAACTGTGATTGGCCCATATGAGGTGGCCAATGTCATATGAATTTGAGTGAAACCTGATGTGGAGCATTTCTGTGACCTTGGACCACCAAGCTTTTCCCCAGCCCACTCCTGCCTCTTTCTCCTCTTGCTACACCTGAAGACTCGTTTTTAATAGCACTTTTAAATGAGAGGAAAACTGACTATTTATTTCCTCCCAGTATTATCATGCTTGTTGGCGGTTGACTGTCTTATTTTGGACAGTTTCAGGTGACGGCTTGGCTGTCCAACTCCTTAACTGTATTCTTACATTCTTAGCACATACAGAATGACTAAGTGTGGGCCCTTAGCTTATTAGGAAGTGGAAGGAGAAATAAGAACCAACATTTCCCGGATGCCCAACCCATGCACACAAGGTGGTACAGGTTATTTTCTGAGGACCGACTTGTAGGTTGCACAGCTTGGTCATGGTCAGGTAGAGTCAGAGTCAAACTCTGAGCATCTCTGTCTCTTGAGCTTGCTGTCCTCCCACTGCCCTGGGTGAGTTCTTCTCCTGAATAACTCAGTGGCCGATCTAGCACAGGCTGTGGTACCTAAGAAGCCCTGAGGCTGGGGCAGAAATGTCCATAGCTCACCTGTGGACGATTCTGATTCCTCACTGGGTCTTGTTCGGTATCTTTGTGCTTTGTCTCCGGATGGAGTTGACACATGATGCTGAATTTGGAGGTACTGGTGCAAAGTCAGATCCAGGCTGGAGTGTCATCTCAGGTTGGTCTTGGGTCTTTTTTCTTTTTTTTTTAATATTTATTCATTTGGCTGTGCCAGGCCTTAGTTGCTGGTCTTAGTTACAGATGTTTAGCTCCATGTGGGATCTAGTTCCCTGACCAGAGACTGAACTTTGGTCGCCCCTTGTATTGGGAGCTTAGAGTCTTAGCCACTGGACCACCAGGGAAGTCCCTTTGGGTCTGGTATTTATTGAACCTGCCTTAGCCTTAGTTTCCTTATCTGTGCAACAGATGTGCTAGCACCTAGGTCAAAGTGGTTAGGATGAGCCTCTCCAGGATGAAGTATCTGGTACATGGGAGGCCCTCAGCCATCATTTCTTTGTCCCTGCAAGTAATGCCGCTGAGTCACAGGTCCCTGAGGGGAGATGGCTTTCTCTCCCCTCCTTCAATGTGTCATCTCCCTCTCCTTAAGCTTGTATTATCTGGGTGTGGTGAGCCCTGGGACGAAAGCCGCCCTGCCAGCCCATCAGTAACATAAAACCCATGAGCACCTCCTTTCACGTGGGGCCCCGTGACTGGCTGGCAGGTGCCAGCGGTGACGGGAACTAGTGGGGCCCCAGGGGCTGTGGGGATCGGTGTGTGGGAATCTGGGCAGGGCTGCTGGCTGGAGAGTGGAGGCTCAGGGTTTGGCAGGGGAGGTGGTACCGCAGGATCAGGCTCCTCCTGGCACAGCGGGTTCCCAGCTGTAGGCGCTGGGGTGCGGTATCGGACCGGGAACCGGCTGCTCCCCAGAGGCACCTTTGGGAGGCACAGGGAGGGCTGGGCATCCCTGCTGGGGGTGTTTAGGGAACAGATTTCTGGGGGCTTAGGAGTGGGAAAGGGCATACCCGGGAAAGCTCACTGGGTGGCCGCCTGCTGTGTGGTCTTAGAAAGAAGAGGAGTTGATAACCTCCCTGTGCTAGTGCGTGAGTTCTTACTCTCCTGCCGAGTTCATCACTTGGCTGTATGCTGGTGTCTCTCTCTCCTGCTATGTGACCTTCCCAAGAGCAGGCGAGCTCCTTGCAGAGCGCCCTTCCCATCGAAACATTTGATGGCTGGAGATGATCCACAGGCAGGACGTGGGATGCCCCTGGAGATCTTTGTCCTTGCTGCCTCTGTCTGCCATGGTCTAGTTGCTTGGGAGTGTCTTCATCTCTTTCTGATGGTTTCAGTTCCCTCTTATCTTCTATGCTTCCTTCTGACCTTCCATCCTTTTTTTCTTCCAACCCTCCTTGGTGGCTCAGATGGTAAAGAATCTGTTGCCAATGCAGGAGACCCAAGTTTGATCCCTGGGTTGTGAAGTTTCCCTGGAGAAGGAAATAGCAACCCACTCCAGTATTCTTGCCTGGGAAATCCCATGGATAAAGGAGCCTGGTGGGCTACAGTTCATGGGGTTGCAAGAGTCAGACACGACCTTGCTTGAAGGCATGGGTGGACTTGGTCCAGAGGCTAACCTGTAAATGTTGATTAGATCTTTGTTGCCCAACACACAGTATGATCTTGGTAGCCATTAGTCACTTCCTTTGCTAAGGACCTCCTCATGGTCCTTTCCAGAAGTGAGTTCCTTTTGCATCTATGCCCTTGTCCAGTTGCTGGCCTGGTGAGTTAGCAGCTGCTGTGAGAAGCACATGTCCCAGTGGGCTGAGGTGGGCCGTGTCCTGGTGGAATAGCCCTGAATCTTCCCCTTCAAGCCCACCCTCACTTAAGCCCCACTCACAGAATCGGGGATGGGTAGGGGGATGCACAGGCAAGAAAATCTTTTTTCTTTTTTTGCCCCCACCAAACTTGCTTAGTGGCCAGTAGTTTGGCCACCTGATGTGACGAACTGACTCATTGGAAAAGACACTGATGCTGGGAAAGATTGAGGGCAGGAGGAGAAGGGGCCAACAGCGGGTGAGATGGTTGGATAGCATCACTGACTCGATGGGCATGAATTTGAGCAAGCTCTGGGAGTTGGTGACGGGCAGGGAAGCCTGGTGTGCTGCAGTCCATGGGATCTCAAAGAATCAGGCCTGACTGAGTGACTGAACTGAACTGAAGCTTGCTTATTTGTAGAAGCGGACGATACAGATGTCTTATATTCCTGACCCTCTGGAATAGCGACACTTCCCTTCCATCCCTCTTGTCCTGCTTACTATAGGTTTGCATCTCTA